AAAGCACTTTAGCTTGCAATGTGCTTTATGTCTAAAGAATGTGTCCTCTTTTTTTTCATTTTTCAAAAATGAATAGAAATTATAACTTTTTAAATTAACCTTGCTACACCCCCCTGGCTGTCAATCAGATAACTGGTTCTGTTACTTCCTGGTAGTTTAGCTCAGTGGAGGTAAACTCAACAGACAGGGAGAGCATCTGCCTTGTACATAATTCTTACTGAACTGCATTGGGGAAGTCTGTGATTGGACAGCCATAGAAAGTCTGCGCTAGAGAAGAAGGAGAGGGCTTGCAAAGGATTCAGACAAGAGATCTTTACCTTTTGCAATCTGGTTTTAGATATACCTCAGATGTAAAAGTGTATAATTAAATGCATGCATGTTTAAATCTGCAATGTATCTACTAAGGAGTGATTTATTTAAACTATATACATATTTTGGGGGGTGGCAATAACTTTTATTAGTAATTTTTCAATAATAATATGATATAAACAATACAAAAAAGAAAAACACAATAAAAAACAAACAAGCAAAATGGGGGACTATCAAGGACAATCATCATCCAATAATACATTGCAAGTCCATATCAAATCAGTATTATAATAATAGTATATAACAATTGTAAAATATTACTGCCATTTGTGCCTCAAGAAGTTGATGTGTTTATAAAAGAATAAAATCAAAACAAGGATTTTTTTATTGTCTGATCTAGTTCAGGTCAAGAAAAACTTATAGGCCATAACGGCCCCTGACATCCTCCTCCCAGAGTGTTCATTCATGTTTCAGCAAGTTGGCAGCATCTAAAGGCTAACTTACTTTGCATAGTTTCAAACACATTACATACTACGTCAGTCATAGATGGAATAGTATCAGTCTTCAAATAGGAAAATAGAAAGGACAGAAGTTGCTGAAACTAATAGATGATCCAAAATAATTTCTGTAGACCTGGACAAATTATCTGGAAGTTTTATCAGGAGACACAATTCTGTAATAGTGTGACCTTGGTCTGTAATTGTGTGTATCAATGTATTAATGTTTTTCCAGTAGATGTTCAGCTTAGGACTGGACCAAAAAATGTGTGTTAGTGTGCCTATTGGCCCACACTCCCTCCAATATATATTAGTTATGGTAATTGTAGTTTAAAAAGCTCAGAGGGAGTCAAATACTACCTATAGAGACATTTATAATGTGATTCTAAAAGTGCCACAGACTGTTTTATTCACTGTAGCATCAATAGAAGCCCATGCCACTCCTCTACAATAAACTCCTTGTTGAAGTACCTTTCAAATTTTGTCATATTGTCTAATTTTGGACCAAGTTCTCCCGCAAAATATGCATAGCACATAGAAATAGTATGTTTTTAGTTCAGGATCTGAGAGATAATTAATTTTGTGTTCTTCTAGAATCTGATCAGAAACATTAAAGTGTTTACTAATTAAATCAACCATCTGTTTTTGGCCTGGATGGCTCTGGTGTCCCCATACATAGTCAGATGGTTTATTTAACCCCTTAAGGACCAAACTTCTGAAATAAAAGGGAATCATGACATGTCCTTAAGGGGTTAGTTAGTGAACACGTTAATGTAACTGGTCAAGAGATAAACTGGTAACTGGTCAAAAGATTAACAAGAATAAGACAAAAATGAATCTTTAATTTGTATGACAGAGTGTCAAAGTCAATATTTCATGTCTAGGTAAGCTAATGCATATGAGGCCTTGAATCAATGCTGGTCCCCCCTCCCTCACGAATCTCCCCTTTGACACATAGAGGGTTAAATTAATCTTTATTTACTTACCCGATTCCAGCGCTGATGTCTCTTGGTGCTGGATTGCAGTCAGCCTCCTCCGAAATCATCTAACAGAGATGACCTAATGTGCATGTGCGGCATTGAATCAATGTTTTCCTATGGGAAATTCACTGTAGCTGGATGTTCCCAGGCAGAACATGAGGACGTCCCACATCTATTAAGTAAGTCAGACTCTGTTAGAATCCAGGAAGCGCCTCTAGTGGTTGTCTGGGAGATAGCCACTAAAGGCAGTCTTAGTCCTGCAATGTAAACAGGGATATGTCTGCGTGAAGTGTTACTTTAAACTTTTGCCTGTTAACTTTGATGCCCTTTATCTCCTCCGCTGATCTCATCATTACTGCTAGAGGTTCAATAGATAAAGCCTAAAGCAGAGGAGATAAAGGGCAGCCTTGCCTTGTGCTATTCTGGATACTAAAAAAGGATGAACTTAAGAATGGACCAGTTACTTTGGCGCTCAGGTTTCTGTCAAAAGCCATAGAGCTATTCTTAAATAGACTATTGATCCTAAAAGTGTCTAATGTCCTCTATTGAAAAGCCCAGCTTACCCTATTGAAAGACTTCTCAAAATCTAGTGCCAAGAAGGCTATCGGTATAGATTTTTGTTGGATATCTGAAGTGAGATCTATTTATTTCTGGGTGTTATGTTCCCCCGATCTACCCAGGAAAAAAAAATGGCTTGATCAGGCTGTACTAAATCTGTCATTACTGTTTTAAGTCAATCTGTCAGGATTTTTGAAAATAGTTTCACGTCTAAATTTATGAGTGAGATAGTTCTATAGTTTGTGATTAGACTGGGATCTTCCCCACCTTAGGGATTGGCAGATAGAAGCTTTGAGGTATTTCCCCCTTTATCTCTTCAGGTATGTCCCCTCTTCCCCAAAATGTCTAAACATTCTGAGTAACAGGAGAAATCATGGGGTCAGCTATCTTATAGAATAATATATGTAAATCAGTCAGGACCAGTGATTTCCCCACACTCAACACCAGTATAGCATTTTTCAGCTCTCCTAACGTAAAGGGTTGATTTAACATTTCCTGTGTCTCTTCTGAGATTTTTGCCAGATTTAACCTTTGCAAGAAATCCTTCTTGCTAAGGTTAAAAATTGCTAAATGCCTAATCTAATATGTTTAATAGGATCTTGTTGTTAACTACCAATCTTTGAATACTAGATCTTTCTAATTTCTGTTTAAATTTGTTGGCAAGTATATGATTTGCTCTATTGTTACTATTGTACCATTTCTGTTTGGAATTAAACGTTTGCATCCCCTTAGGCCAATTCCTCTGAACAACTAAAATGAGTTCAACCTCATGCAGGTGTTGGGTTTCTGAGGAGGAAGGTTTACATTGTCCTGTTTTCACAGGAAGTTCTAATGCTGAGTGGATACTAACTAGCTTAAAGTGGTACTGCCACTTCTATCACAACCAAATAAAAGTAAGCTATTGGCTGTGTTAGTTTTATATATATATACAGGGAGTGCAGAATTATTAGGCAAATGAGTATTTTGACCACATCATCCTCTTTATGCATGTTGTCTTACTCCAAGCTGTATAGGCTCGAAAGCCTACTACCAATTAAGCATATTAGGTGATGTGCATCTCTGTAATGAGAAGGGGTGTGGTCTAATGACATCAACACCCTATATCAGGTGTGCATAATTATTAGGCAACTTCCTTTCCTTTGGCAAAATGGGTCAAAAGAAGGACTTGACAGGCTCAGAAAAGTCAAAAATAGTGAGATATCTTGCAGAGGGATGCAGCACGCTTAAAATTGCAAAGCTTCTGAAGCGTGATCATCGAACAATCAAGCGTTTCATTCAAAATAGTCAACAGGGTCGCAAGAAGCGTGTGGAAAAACCAAGGCGCAAAATAACTGCCCATGAACTGAGAAAAGTCAAGCGTGCAGCTGCCACGATGCCACTTGCCACCAGTTTGGCCATATTTCAGAGCTGCAACATCACTGGAGTGCCCAAAAGCACAAGGTGTGCAATACTCAGAGACATGGCCAAGGTAAGAAAGGCTGAAAGACGACCACCACTGAACAAGACACACAAGCTGAAACGCCAAGACTGGGCCAAGAAATATCTCAAGACTGATTTTTCTAAGGTTTTATGGACTGATGAAATGAGAGTGAGTCTTGATGGGCCAGATGATGGGCCCGTGGCTGGATTGGTAAAGGGCAGAGAGCTCCAGTCCGACTCAGACGCCAGCAAGGTGGAGGTGGAGTACTGGTTTGGGCTGGTATCATCAAAGATGAGCTTGTGGGGCCTTTTCGGGTTGAGGATGGAGTCAAGCTCAACTCCCAGTCCTACTGCCAGTTCCTGGAAGACACCTTCTTCAAGCAGTGGTACAGGAAGAAGTCTGCATCCTTCAAGAAAAACATGATTTTCATGCAGGACAATGCTCCATCACACGCGTCCAAGTACTCCACAGCGTGGCTGGCAAGAAAGGGTATAAAAGAAGAAAATCTAATGACATGGCCTCCTTGTTCACCTGATCTGAACCCCATTGAGAACCTGTGGTCCATCATCAAATGTGAGATTTACAAGGAGGGAAAACAGTACACCTCTCTGAACAGTGTCTGGGAGGCTGTGGTTGCTGCTGCACGCAATGTTGATGGTGAACAGATCAAAACAGTGACAGAATCCATGGATGGCAGGCTTTTGAGTGTCCTTGCAAAGAAAGGTGGCTATATTGGTCACTGATTTGTTTTTGTTTTGTTTTTGAATGTCAGAAATGTATATTTGTGAATGTTGAGATGTTATATTGGTTTCACTGGTAATAATAAATAATTGAAATGGGTATATATTTGTTTTTGTTAAGTTGCCTAATAATTATGCACAGTAATAGTCACCTGCACACACAGATATCCCCCTAACATAGCTATAACTAAAAACAAACTAAAAACTACTTCCAAAAATATTCAGCTTTGATATTAATGAGTTTTTTGGGTTCATTGAGAACATGGTTGTTGTTCAATAATAAAATTAATCCTCAAAAATACAACTTGCCTAATAATTCTGCACTCCCTGTATATATATATATATATATATATATATATATAGATACAAAAAATATGTCAAACCCCTGCACTCCAATAAAAAGATATATTTTACCTGGTGCTCTGGTAGCTCAATTGTAGAAAGTGGAAAGACCGGCACTCAAGGAGTTTTAACAGCTTTTACTGTGTAAAGATAAATCAACGTTTCAGCTCCACTAAGGAGCTTTCATCAGGTCCTGATGAAAGCTCCCTAGTGGAGCTGAAACGTTGATTTATCTTTACACAGTAAAAGCTGTTAAAACTCCTTGAGTGCCGGTCTTTCCACTTTCTATATATATATATATATATATATATATATATATATATATATATATATATATATATATATATATATATATATATGTTTATTCATTTTTTATTTCAACTCACATGCTTTGCTTATGTCTTGCACTGCCATGAGCATGGTATATGCATGCGTTTGGTACTGCTATGGCAAATGTTAAGCATGCATGCACACGTGTGGAATGTTTCTTTTTAGTGCCTAAGCAAGCATACTCATGCCTAAGGCTTTATTGGATGCAATGAAAATTCAATGTGGAAGTGGACAAGAGGTAAGTATTCATAAATGTATTTAATGTATGTCATTTTATCAAATGTATAATATATAAAAACATGTAAAATACGTATTAATAATTTTTTGCACAAATGTACAAAACTTAAAAAATGTGGAATTAAGTGACAAAGGTAATTAACAAACTGGCAAAAAGATACATTATAAAATCAGCATAAAAGTCAGAGCAAATGTTAATTGCCCTTTTCATGCTTTTTACATTTGGTATATTTATGTGAGAAAGGTTTAATATGTGTTTTTACATAGTTTTGGAAGCCACTATATATTGTTTATATATTTTTAACATTTGTGGCTGCTCAAGTTTGGGGTGGCAGCCTTAATAATTGTAGTATTTATTTTTAACATTACATTTGTTTTTACATATGTTTTCTCTTATCTTGTAATTTTAACACAGTATACAATAATAATAATAATAATAATAATAATAATAATAATAGTAAAGAAAGGATTGCAGAATTATTAGAAAAGGTTGTGGACTTGCAGAGCCTTGAAATCATTTTTTTTTGTCCATCTGCCTGAACACAGCTTCCTTGCAGCATAACTTTTACAATACTTAGTATTGGTTTGCGTTTTGAGTTATTGGAATATCTTTCAAATCTTCATGCTAAAGCTATTTTAGGTCTATAAAATATAATATTAATTAATATGAATGCAATTTCCCATTATTCCTATATACGATGCACCAATGTAATCATCACTGCAATAGACGATGAACTAGAAATGTGCATTCTTATCTGGAACATTTAGGGCAAACATGGGGAGATTGGCAGTAAAGCTGCTTTTTTAACTGAGCTATTTTGAACAATTGTTTTTTCATGTCAATGTTTAGTGAATGACCCCTAAGCATATATTGAATTCCATATTTGGACAGTTTAATAGTATATTCTTTACTTGAGAACACTGAAAAGATTCATTTAAAAATAGTTAAATCTACTCATATTTAAGAGAATTTGATGTGCAGTGTTTGAAGAACGAGATCATTTGGCAATGACACTTAAAGTAAGAAATTGAGAGCAGAATGCTAGCAGGGCATTCTTTGATCTGTCTGATTGCTCTATACATATGGAGATATATTTTCTACAAAGCAATATGGTTGTTAACACATCAAAAGAGGTATTTATGTTCACCACACATCACAAGTAAATCTGGGCCCAACAGATAATATAGCTTTATAGAAATTTCATGATTAAAGTATTATTCTTATAGAATAATTACATATATATTCACTTACTGTGCATATTTCTGTAACCTATTTTAAATTTCCAGAATCTATTCAGTTTAATATGTTTTTGTTTTTTCATTATTTTTTTTTAACCTTTTATCAATAAGGAATTAATGATAAGTAAGGCCAGGTCAATTTGAGCTAAAAAATAAAAAAATATCTCAAGTACTCATAATGCCTACTTGCAACAGTGATGCCTAACTAAATGTGCAACAAATTGAACCTTCCACTGGAAAGACTAGAGCAGGCATAGGCAACCTTCGGCACTCCAGATGTTTTGGACTACACCTTCCATGATGCTTTGCCAGCATTATGGGGAATGTAGTCCACGACATCTGGAGTGCCGAAGGTTGCCTATACCTGGACTAGAGAAACAGAATGATATGCAAGTTTCACACCTATTAGCTTAAACAGTAAGCTTTCATTACAGTAAGAAGAGGAATCTTAATATTTGCTGTGTCATACTGATTGAAGGGTCAGAAATTAGCAAAACATGCCTAGATTGTAGAATCAGAAATATTTGAAAATAGCCCAAATACAGAGTCTAATACAGAGGTATGATAATGGTGTTTGGAAATATATTATTGGTACTTTTCTTCACAGCTGTCCACTTGTGTTGGATTGGCCAATCATTCACACCTGGGCAGTTAAACAAATCATGCACAAACCTCATTAACCCCTTAAGGACACAGCTTCACATTTTTTGCTGTTTGCGTTCAACTGCAATTTGCATTTTACTACTTTATTGCACTGACACATATTATATACAGTTTTTTAAAGGACAAAAAGGGCTTTAAATTGATGTAACATATACATATATAAATGCTTATTTATTATAAAAAAAATACAAAAGAATGCCCAAAAATGTAAAAATATTGTTTTTTTTCTTCAGTTTTTGCAATAATAATGTGTGCATAATTTGTGCAGGTTAAGGAAAGTAATGAAAAATAAATTAATTTAGTTGTTCTGATTTACAGAATATATCATGTGTCTCAGATTTTCAGTTTTCTTTGGTAGTTACAGCTCACAAAACACAAGGAGTAAAATAAACTTTTAATGTGGAGCGATTTTAGAATTTGATATGTTTGTCTTGTAAGCTTAATAGCCATAAAAGAAAACAAAATTGCCACACAAAAGTATATATTTATATAAAGCAGACATCACAGGGTATTTAACTAACATTATTTTGACACTTTTTACATAGCCATTTCACCGCCAATCCCTGCTAAATATTGGACTAAAATTTTTTTTAGTTTTGTTTTTTGACACACAAAATTATAACAAAGAACTTCTCATGTGTATTTTGTAAAGTTAGTGTGTGCTATTCCTGTACAAAACCTAATTTTGTGTTCAGCTACATCTGCTGAGTACAACGATACCCCCATTGTATATCTTTGGCACTATTTCGTGAAGCTATAGCGCCATATAGGAGACCTGTCCATTTCGGTATTTACAGTAGAATTTTGAGAGACGGATTTAATGGGCCTATGTTTCAATTTGGGCCACTATAGCAGTTTGACTGTTGGAAAAAACCCCACAAAGGCCTACCATTTGTAAAAGTAGACAATCCAGGGTATCTCATATGGTGCATATTGTGCCTTAACATGCCCCCATTTTTTTCACCAATGTATGTCAAAGTTTGTGGTAAAAAAAATAATTTTGGGCATTTTTTACAACTGCATTACTTTTTGCTTGACATTTTGTATATTTGACATGTATCACTATGATCAAAGCCCCAGAATTATGCTCAGCTAAGTCTTCTGAGTAAAATGATACCCCTATTGTATGTCTTTGGCACTATTTCATGAAGCTACAGCGCCATATAGGAGACCTGTCCATTTCGGTATTTACAGTAGAATTTTAAAAGACGGATTTGATGGGCATATGTTTCAATTTGGGCCACTATAGCAGTTTGACTGTTGGAAAAAACCCCACAAAGGCCTACCATTTGTAAAAGTAGACACTCAAGGGTATCTCATATGGTGCATATTGTGCCTTAACATGAACCCATTTTTTCACCAATGTATGTCAAAGTTTGTGGTAAAAAAATAATTTGGGGCATTTTTTACAACTGCATTACTTTTTGCTTGACATTTTGTATATTTGACATGTATCACTATGATCAAAGCCCCAAAATTATGCTCAGCTAAGTCTTCTGAGTAAAATGATACCCCCATTGTATGTCTTTGGCACTATTTCTTGAAGCTACAATGCCATATAGGAGACCTGTCCATTTCGGTATTTACAGTAGAATTTTGAGAGACGGATTTGATGGGCCTATGTTTCAATTTGGGCAATTATAGCAGTTTGACGGTTCAAAAAAGGCCTACCATTTGTAAAAGTAGACACTCAAATGGCATATTTTAAACCCTAGCGTAGGATCATTTTTTTACTAGTTTGTACCAAGTCTAGTAGCAATTAGCATTTTTTCTGCCTTTTTGACATACACTTGGAGATGTCACTGTATATTTTGCAATCCTTATGTGTGCTACGGCAGTATTAACACCTATTATGTTTTTCAGCTATGTTGGCTTAGTACAACAATACCCCCATGTCTACCTTTTTCAGGGATATGTGGATGTTGAAGGGGCACATTGGAGACTAAGCCATATCAGTTTTTTTCAAACTTTGAATTTTGACGCTGGGTCCATGTGCAATTTTAGAGCATCTTAGCAGGCTGATAATTCAAACCATCCCACAAAGGCCTACCATTTGTAAAAGTAGACACTCCAGGGTATTTCAAATGGCATATTTTAAACCATAGGGTAGGATCATTTTTTTGCTAGTTTGTACCAAGTCTAGTAGCAATTAGCATTTTTTCTGCCTTTTTGACACACACTTGAAGATGTTACTGTATATTTTGCAATCCTTATGTGTGCTACCTCAGTATAACACCTATTATGTTGCTCAGCTATAGTACAACAATACCCTTATGTGTACCCTTTTCAGGGATATGTGGATGTTGAAGGGGCACATTGGAGACTAAGCCATATCAGTTTTTTTTCAAACTTTGAATTTTGACGCTGGGTCCATGTGCAATGTTAGAGCATGTTAGCAGGCTGATAATTCAAACTACCCCACAAAGGCCTACCATCTTTTAAAGATGGTATTAATCACCGTATTAACCTGCATCAAACTCTGGGGCACTGCCTGTCAACTCTGTCTGCTGATAGAATTCATAACTTCCTGGGCATTTTTTACTTTTTACACAAGAACTTTAACTAAATAATGTTATAAAATAATTTTTTTCTATTTTTTAAAAATCTTTTCACCCCTAGCGAAACACTAAACTCCCCAACTTCCTATGAATTACCACGCACCCTAATTAACTAACTAAAATTAGAAAAATAAAAATAATGAAATAATCAGAGTCAGAGGTAACAATTGCAGCAGCCTCCTTGGCCCTAAACGTTGTCAGCAACTTTAAAATGGAAGAACTAAATAATAACAAAAAAAAAGTATGTATATATATATATATATATATATATATATATATATATATATAAACAATGTGCAACTTATTCTCCCTGGGTGTGAAAAACTTTAAAACAGTTGCCAATACAAAGGCCGGGCTGAGAGGGGCAATCAGGGCAATAAAAGCTGGTTTCCATCCTTATGCCCCTCTGGTAGCACAACCTGCACCTTTTCTGGGGTGTCTTCTTTTTGGGGGTTGGTGGTATCCGGAAACAGAAGTGACCTGTCTCAACCCTTCTGCTGCTAGGCCCAGCTGATGGTTCCCCACTGTGGCACTCAGTGAGCAGCCCAGAAATAAGCTGAAACTGGAAATCCAGAAATGTGGATTTAATGTCAGCATTTGCCTTTTTGTACAGAATAAAGGCATTGTGAGTCGCCATTTGCATAAGGTAAATGCCAAGCTTTTTGTACCATGCCCTGGTCTTCCTCAGTATTAAATAGGGTTGCAGCAGTTGGTCGGACAGGTCAACTCCCCCCATGTGCTTGTTATACTGCCTAATGCAGACTGGCACCCGTCTAATTTCTTGTCTGCCACGAACTGCGACTCTTCGAGTGTGCTCAGTATGCATAGATGTTAGCATGAACACCTCCTTCTTATCTTTGAATTTGAGAGCCAGCAGTTCGTCCTGGCAGAGAGCAGCCGTTTCCCCCCTCTTGAGCTTTTTTTGTGCCAGGGCTTTTGGGAAACCGACACGTGTCTTTCGGATAGTGCTGCAGGCCACAGTTTCAAAGCAATAAAGCATCCTAAGAAGAGGGATGCTATTATAGTAATTGTCTATAAATAAATGATACCCCTTATTTAGCAATGGGTTAATTAAATCCCATACAATTTTTCCACTCGTCCCAATGATATCCGGGCAACCTGGGGGATCCAAGTGGCTGTCTTTACCTTCGTAAACACGGAAGGTGTAAACATAACCACTGGCACTTTCACAAAGTTTATACAACTTTATCCCATACCGGGATCTTAAGGCCAGGATATATTGTTTAAACACCAGTCTGCCCTTGTATTTCATTAGAGACTCATCTACACAAATATTTTTTTGTAGGATGTACATTGAGCCAAACTGTCTGTTGAAGTGGGAAATAAGGGGGCGAATCTTATAGAGATTATAGTATTAAGGATTATCTCTTGGGGGGCACTTCGAATTGTTGCTGAAGTGTAAAAAGCGAAGCATTCCTTCATATCTGTACCTGTTCATGGTCTGGGAGTAAATAGGGGTGCTGCATACAGGATTTTTGGACCAGTACATCCTGATGCTGGGTTTTTTAATAATGCCCATTAGCATTGTTAGTGCCCCAATTTTTTTTTAATTCTGGCACCCTGGTGGGGTACCAACTCCCTTGCCTGGCGGAGAGACTCTGATCATTAAGTGTCAGGTACTGCACAGCATAAAGGTTGGTCTGGGTGACTATATCCCCTAAAATATCATCCCCCAAGAATAGCTGCATGAAATCCAGTGCACTGTAGTTAGTGACGTCCAACTGAATTCCAGGACTGCCAGTAAACACTGGGATGTCAGGCGTGAAATCATTTAGGGGTTCCCAGTCACCAGCGGCATGAGCCAGGTCAGGGGACTCGGCGCTTACAATAGAGGGCCCTGCAGTATCTGGCACAGTCTCATCACCACTCTCAGAGGCAGTGTCTGTGGCGTCAGAGTTGGCTGCTAGTATATCATAAGCCTCCTCAGCAGTGTACCTTCTAGACATTATGAAGGTGTAACTTTAACAAACTTTTTTAAAACTTTTTTCTTTTTTTATCCTTTTTTCTTTTTTTATCTTTTTTCTTTTTTTATAGTTTTTTTTTAAACTTTTAAAAACTTTTAAAAACTTTTTTAAAAACTTTTCAGAACTTTTCTAAACTTTTCGTCTCTAACTAGCCTAACACTCAATTTCCCAAATTCCCACTAAAGTCCACCCACTCCAGCTAACTAAGGAATTAACATTAAATTAATTAAATAACAAATTAAATAAAATTAACCCCTAAGGGTTAAAAAAAAAATCAAAATTAACCTTTGAGGGTACAAAATTTTTTTTAGATCACAGTTAAATACTCTGATCAGTATACTGATCACTGCAGGCAGTGATCAAAAGGGCAAGGAAAGGGTTAACACTGTTTTAAAAGTATTAAAATGACTTTTATAACAGAGATACACTTTAAGCTAAAATGGCACACAATGTTGCAGCACCGATCCCTCTCTCTCCACTTCTCAAACCACACAGAGGTGGAGGGAGGAGGATCAGGAATCCCAACAGCACTGTGATCGCTGTGACTGGCTGTCACAGTGATCACATGTGCTGGGACAGCTCTATTGGCGGCTGCTGGTCTGCCTCTGACATTGAGGTACCCAGCAACAGCGTTAATCCCACGATCGCCGTGATCGCGGCGATCTGGCGTTAATGTTAGTAAATTATGGAGATTTTCCGTCAATGGTCCTTAACGCGCGGACAAGCTTGATGGAAAATCTCCGTCTTCGGTCGGGAAGGGGCTAATCAGCTAGATGGAGAAATAAATGCACAGAGAAACAGAGTTTCTGGATGCACTTCCTCATTTATTAAATAAAAAGACAGGTTTTATAAAAACAGCATTCTAATTTGTTCAAATGAGTGGTGCACATTCAAAATAATGCAGACTTTTAAAGGGACACTGTAGGCACCAAAACAACTTTAGTATAATGAAGCAATTTTGGTGTATAAATGCCCCTGCAAGTTCACTGCTCAATTCTTTGCCATTTAGGGGTTAAATCACCTAGTCACACCTCCCTGCATATGACTTGCACAGCCTTCCTAAACACTTCCTGTAAAGAGAGATTTCATGTTTAAATTTATTTTATTGCACATTCTGATCAATTTAGAATGTATTATTTCCTGCTCTGGTAATAGCCTTCTATACCTTTTATGAACCACATGTGTTAGATTAAAATACAATTTACATAGCAGGAGATAAAACATTTAAATCAAGTTAACAACTGACTAAAAATATATTTTTAAAAAATTCACGCAGGTTGTGTGGCTCATATCTAGGGGAGTGTGGCAGGGACTGCATGGACAGAAACAAATGTGATTTAATTCCCAAATGGCAGATAGTTGAGCAGTAAAACTACTGGGACAAGATCTATACTAAACTGCTTCATTAAGCTAAAGTTATTTTAGTGCCTATAGTATACCTTTAATTGGTTAGTAACTTACCATTTGTCTTTAGAATCATGACATACTGAATGTTTTATTCCTGCCAAATTTTTAAGTGTTTTATAATACTTAACTTGTATATGCTGCCTAATTTGAAAACTCAATACTCTTTGTATTTTACGTTCTTATCATCGCAAACGTATCACACATCACTGCACACCTTTATTCTTACTCAAATCTTACTCCTCATCATATTTGTCCTTGTGATATCTATATTATTCACTGATTATTTGTCTTATTCCTATAACCCATTTGCCTCATGAATTATGGCTTAATATTAAGTGACTTTGTAGCAAAGTGATGGAAGCATATGTTAACCTTGGGTACAAGATAGCATGGTGCAGAATAAAGTTATATGAGGTTATTTGAGGTAGATTGGCAAGACAGGGTTAGATAAATATGACTTAACATGAGTTTGACTTCTACTAAAACTTTTAATTTTTTTTCTCTTATGTTTTCTAGAGTAATATAAAGCTAAAATGGAGTTTAGCACTATATATAAAAGTCTATCTAACAAAATATTTCTTGGCACACCACTGAGCATCACTAGAAAGATACCTCTGTGTTCCTGATTGCCATGTGCATCCCTTTATAGCTAGGGCCCTCCACTCTCTGTTCCTGTGCGTCCAGTTGTCTGCTTACTATTACATGTCTGTTACTCCACCCATTGTACAGCACTATGGAATCTGATGGCACTATATAAATAATAAAATAATAATAATAATTATAATAATAATAGCTATAAGATATCCTGCATGAATTAAAATTGAAATGTAAATTAGATGTAAAATGTAGCGGGTCAAAAAGTTATCATCACCTCCATTTTTGTCTACAAAGATGACAGTGAGGTCAACATCTACTAATATCTATGTTTATTATCATACTCCCGTATGTCCACTTTGCTAAAAGAAAACATTCATACATTTTTATAGAGTCTGAGAAATGTTATAGCTCAACCTCTCTTGGCAGATCTTTATTGTTTCAGTGCAATAATTTACCTTCTGCAGTTCAGGTATCCTTTTAGGTCCCAAAGGATCAGGTCTTGACCTTCGTATAGAGATCTGTTTGTTTTATCATTGGTTACATGTGTTAAATTTTTTTATACCTCCTTTGACCGAATTTACAGTGTGTTTTTGGCTGTAGTTTTCCGAATGTTTCTGTTTATTTTCTGATCCCATGTAAACTCTATAGACTATTATATGTGAATAACTATTTCTGGCACCAATAATCATGCACTGGTGGAAAATAATAAATCCTTTTTTTTTTCTAATGTTTGGTGATTCAGTACGGAAACTGGTGTCTGGTATCAATAACAAGAATTGAATTGGGACTACAAGGAAATCCATGTGTATTTTTCGAAAGCTTCCTGAAAGTTTTCCTTTTTGCCCTTTATGAGTGATTAACTCCTTAAGGTTCATTGCTATATCAGTCACTTACACTTGTATTCATTCTACTAACTGAAATGGAAAAATCAATCAATGAATTGATTATTTATTTGTGTATCTGCCCCTGGCCAAATCAATGAAACAATGCGTGCACGCTCCCTGAAGTAATTCACACCAGACACAGGTTCCAGGTTGTTGAATAACTTGAGGAATGTTTATTCAGAGGGGACGGCAGGTCCCTTATAAAGCAAAATTACATCATTAGCATTGTCAGAGATAACATGGAATAATACATCAATAATTGGTTAGGTGTTAAGTGGTCTCCTTAATGCTCTGCCTACTGAGGGTGATGTCACCAGGACCATGAGGGTCTCCCACGGTTTCCCGGCGCCATCTTGCTGCACGAGGTAGTTAGTCGGTGTTAGAGGGGAGGGGGAAGAGGGGTTAGAAGCTTCTAGCAGCCATCTTGATTAAAACACGTGTGTATAGCTTCATATGGTATATCGTGGAATGAGTAAATAGACATTTTTACTAATTAGGAAATATGTGTAGACCTTATTTCCACAACACTAACATCACCAAAAGGCAATCTTAAACTGCTCATGGACTGTGTGTGTGTCTGTGTGTGTGTGTGTGTGTATGTGTATGTGTGCATAGAATAGTAAAGAAATGTGATTTAAGCGACTTTAAATATAAAAAGCATGTTGATGGTAGATGTGAAGGTTTAAATTGTTGACATTTACTTAAAAATGTTGAAGTACAAAGAATATTAAAAACTTACAAGACGGGTAGAGAGGGAGAAAGCTGAAATTTGCACTGGTTGTACTTTATTAGTTCCCTCTCCCTATCATGTATTTTTTTATTTATTTTTTTACTCTGGTTGTGTGGCTCACATCTAGGGGAGTGTGGCAGGGACTGCATGTACAGAAACAAAGGTGATTTAATTCCAAAATGGCAGATAGTAGAGCAGTAAAACTACAGGGACATGGTTTCTAATGATGTAAGGAGATGTTTTTGAAGGAATCTGGGAACAGTGACATCACTGGGTGTGTGTGGCTTAAGTCGTGTGGCACTATCCTAGAATGTGGCACCAAAAACCGTTGATGGATACGCAACATTCCCATGTCAC